CTAATGAATGTTATATTCTCTGCATCAGAGAAGAAAACTGTAGTCATGTTCCATGCCCACGTCAGATCTTCTCCTTTGATCTTGTCATCTTTCTCCTTGGGTTACTTGTATTTTCTTAATTCCCTATCCTCTACTCCACCTTCAATATTCCAGACAGTATTTGAATTCCATTTATTTCAAGGAGTCTTTCTTGACTACCCACCACAGACAAGGCCCCTCTTCTGAACAACACCATGTGTTGCCTCCAGTTTGCCCATAGCTTATCACCTGCTGCTATATATTACCATCCTTATCTCAGGTTCAAAATCCAAAATCAGAACCAGGTAATAATTTATTGAATTCCTACTATGTGCCCAGCACCATGCTTAGGATTTTAACATATTAACTCTTTCAAGTGGATATGCCCTCCTTGATAGCTGGGGTTGTTAGATATCAACATACTCTTGTTTCCTAGCAAAGTGCACGGCATATGGCAAGTCGTCAATAATATCTACTGATGAAAGAACTTGAGACAATTTTCTCTCCTGACTTACAAGAAAATTGAAAGATAGAATTATCCTTAGAAACTACCTCTCATCCAAGTGCTCATCTCACAGATAAAGAAACTGAGACTTGGAGATGGGAGGTGGCTTGTCCAGAGTTGCATAGCAAGTAAGACATCTACTAAATGAAAGAAAGAGTGAACGAAGATGAGACTCCACCAACCAGGCTTTCTGGCTTAAGAATAAAATGACAGAACAGTAAACATTTCACCTTGTGTAGGGTACAAAAGCTCATTAATTACCTGGACAAATCCAGCACCTGCAGTTCTGGGAAGTTGGAGAAGCTATGGCTGCCTAACTCCTTCAAGGGGTTAAAGCTCAGGTCCAGTTCCTTGGTTGATGTGGGGATGTTCTCAGGGATTTTGTAGAGATTCAGGTCCATGCATTGGTAAGTAGTGTTAGGAACCACCTGCAATAATCATACGTTAGATGCAGTGTCATACTGCATGTACCTCAATAGACTGCCCTTTTATCTCCCTTCTCCTGAGCCAGGGTCTGGGAGGCTTCTAGTACAAGCACAAAGGTCAGTCTTTCATCCATCCATCCTTCCAGTCATCCATCTGGCCATCCACTCATCTATCCATCCATCCATCCAGTCAACCTTCTTTCAACCATCCATCCATCCATCCATCCATCCATCCATTCAGTCCTCCATCTGGCCATCTGTTCATCTATCCATCCATCCATCCATTCATTTATCCATTCACTTCATACTTATTAAACATCTTACTCTAGATTAATTAAGGAAAGAGCACTTACTATGTACCCAGTGGTCTAACTTCTACTATAACAATGGTAGTATCTAGCAAGAAGCAGTGGAGTCAAGTGATAAAGAGCTGAGGCTCTGGAGTCCAAAAGTTCAGGGTTTCACCCCAAGCTCTTCCATGTGATTTGGGGCAAGGTTGTATTTTTTTTTTTTCCCTAAATACCATCTCTCCCCTCTCACAGTGTACAGCCTTGGGGAGACTGCTAGTCAAGGTGTCTAGACCTCCCTTGGTCATTGCTCAATTTTTGCCAATTGCATTCTCTCCCTTGGCTCATTGTACTTCGAGCAAGTGATCTAGAAATGGGGAGAAACCTTTGGTGTGCATGGACTCCAGTGGTGGACGCTAGTAAATGAGGTCAAGTGCTATATGCTGCCTTGGTTCCTGTGCTGGTTTCTATCATACTTTCCCAAATTCTTTATAAGTCTTATTCTCTATCCTCCCACTTAATTTCTGAATTCTCTAATTTCTTTAACAAAATTCCTTGCTTAAACTCAGCTAATTTTAGTTTTCTGTTGCTTAAAAACCAATAGAATCTGTTCAAAGGATTCAATGAGATAAGGTGTTTAAAGAGATGATCTCAAAGCCTATTAGAGTGTAAATGATCAAGAAATGTTAACATTGATTATTATTGGCTATTATTAATCCCTTACTATATGTTGGCACATTTCTTATATAGTATATGCTTTAATTTAATCCTCAAATAAATCTTTTAAAGAAGAAGAATTCAGAGAGATGAGAGATGAAGTAATATGCAGATAGTCCCACAGGCCATCTGTGCAGTTCCTTACATCATTCATATGTCTGCGTAAATGTTACTTTCATAGGAGCCTCCCAGACATTGTCTAATAGAGGATGATGCCAGGACCTCTTCCTTACCCTCTTTTATCCTCATTCATAGGATGTATCACTGTCTCACGTGACGTTGCCCATGTGGCTGTTCCATGTGTATTGTTCATTTCTCTCACTAGATTGTGAGCTTTGATAGTCTTGCTCTCTGCTAGGTCTCCAGCACTCAGAATGGTGTCTGGCAAACGGCTGAGGCTTAACAAATATTTGCCGAATAAGTGAATGAATAATTGATGGAATGGAGTTTTGTTTAAATCCAAATTGCACACCTTTTCTGCTAAGTGCTGTGGGCAGTACAGAGACCAACGTGATGTGGCTCCAGACTACAATGAGCTCACAACCTAGATAAGGGTTCAGAGAGGGGTACAACTCACACCACTGAGAAGGACCATTAACCAGGCTTGGGAAAAATTTCTTTTGGTTCAGAAAAGGTAGACATCAATTCTGGATCCAGGGATTGGAGGAGGCTTCTGAGAAAGAGAAGATTTCCAAGTGGGTCTTGCAGGATGAGTAAGATTTGGATACATGGAAAGAGGAAAAAGGAGAGAACCATGGAAGGAGGGGTGCAAAACTTTTTCAGATTAGCTAACAGCTGGTGGGAGTGATGAAACTAAAGTCAGAGGGGAAGCAAGAGCCAGATCAAGAGGGGCTCGTGCCTTGTCCTGTGGCAATACTTTTCATCACTTAACACATAAATTGAGCAACTACTATGTGCTAGGTGCTGGGATATAGTGATAAATAAAATCAGCAACGATCTTGCCCTCTTACAGACTCCATTTTGAAGAGGAAGACAAACAATGAACAAAAAAAATCAGAAAATGAATAATGATGTGCTATTAAAAAAGATAAAGCCACACAGGAAATTAGAGAAAAAAATATGTGAGGTGGGGAGTTCTATATGTGGTGATCAAGGAAGACTTCCTGGAGGAGATGACATTGAAGCAGAAATCTGAATAAAGGGAGGGATTAAGCCATGAAACTATCTAGGGCTGCACTGTCTAATATGGTAGCCACTAGCTACACACAGCTGTTGAGCACGAGAAAGGTGGATAGTCTAAACTGAGACATACGGTAAATGTAAAATGTATACTAAATCTCAAAGACTTAGAAGCAAAGAAAAAATGTAAAATAGCCTATTAATAGTTTAGTATATATTACATTTTGAAATAATATTTTGAATATACTGGGTTAAATAAAAATATTATTAAAATTAAATTCACCTTTTTCTTTTTATTTTTTTAACGTGCCTACTAGAAGATTTAAAGCTATGTTTTAAATACCTAATTTAGTTAAAATTTAATTAAGTCAGTTAAATCAAAACTCAGTTAAATTTGTTATTTAAATTTAAATAATATCATGTGGCCCACATGATATTACCATAGGGCACCAATGACCTAGGGGAAGAGCATTCTAAGCTAGAGGAAATAGCCAGTGCAAAGGCCCTGAGGTAGGAAGTGGTCCTGATAGCAGCGGAGAGTTATTATAAGTTTTTAAGAAGGGTAATTTGTTAGAACGGAGACTCAGGAAAAACAACGACAACAAATAAACAACAAACAGAAATCTGCAGAGCGGATTAAAGGAAGCTGGCTATGGAGTCTGGGGACCAGTCAGTATCCAAGAGTCAAGGCCAGGGGAATGGAGCACCTGCCCTTGGGTGCCACTGAGGGATGGGCAACGTTGGGCAGGCTTTGGAGACTGAGAGACTAGAGGGCGTGGAGAGAGGGAGGAGCCAAGAGTGGAGGTGACCTTGATTGGAGGATCAATGCCCATTAACCTCACAGCAAAAGGGGCACAGAGAGGAGGATGAGAAGCAGGGAACTGGGGAACAGAGGACAAATTTGTTTTTGGGACATATTAACGGACGCTATTTTCCCATGTCCTCAACTTACAGGACTTGGGCTGGTTTTGCTTTTCTTGTTTCTAACCCTGCCACACCCTAAGTCCCAGGACAATCTTTTGGCTGTTTGGTTCCCTCACAGGCTGCCAAAGCCATCGTGAAGTCCACGCAGGGGAAAACAAGAGAGACCCAGCACGAATGAGATTCCCAGCCAGCCGGTTGGTGTTTCACAGAGAAAGAAACCCCTGGATTAGCAGACATTTTACATCTTTCCCTCTCTTTTCTTTCCTTCTCTCCTTATCTCTCAGTGCCTCTTTCTCTCTCTCTCTCTCCTTTTTTTCTCCCATCTCTTTCCTTTTCATCCTTTAGACAGAACTATGACTAGATTCAGAAGTCTGAAATCCACTTCGAAAGTTCTTTCTATTAAGAAACGGAAAACCATCTTCTCCCTGAGATTGAAAGGGGCAGTGACTGCTCGAAGCTGAGTGTACAAAGCAACAGTGGGAAGCAGTGACAGGCAGCAGCCTTCCTACAGCTCTCTACTGAACAAGGCATTATTATCATGATGTTATAGGTGTGAGAACTAGTCTGAAAGGAGGTTTAGTAACTTCTTCAAGGTCACACAGCCCAGAAGTTGAAGAACAGTTATTTTACACAGTTCTATCTGACCTAAAGCCCCTATTAGCACTTAAAGTCCTAAATAGGATCTTACCCCATGGGCTGCCTGTTAATGCCCGGCAACCGCAAATTATTTGGTCCCTGTGCCTTCTCAAGTCTTTCCAGTAATTTGAATCCTTTTAGTAAGTGAAACTAACCAGGGCCCGTAGCGGCACGTTCTGGGCAGAGAGCAGCTTTTCAGAAGCACGGGGAAGCTCACAAGAGATGAGCTGACCCCACCACATACCTGCACGCAAGGGTCCCAGCTCTCGGGTCTCAGGCAGGAGAGGAAGGCCATGGCTGGGATCAGAGTCCCAGCCAGGCGGGTGGGCGGCATCATCCTGGCATTTTCTGTGCCCAGAAGGGGCCCTGTGAAAGCATGACGCACCGTAACAGCCTGCCCGCCAGGGCAGCCTCGGAGCTGCTGCTGTGTTCTCTCCCCCGCTCGGTGCCCCACGGTAATGACTGTATTCAAAGCAGTGCTGGCTTAAGGGGCCAGAGGAAGTGAGAGTGGCAGCCTTAGCATTCTGGACTTTTGTTTCTCTAATATTTATCTTCCTCGTCACAGGAGGGGAAGTTAGAAGAAGAAGAAAATGTTCGCAGACCAGGGGCTGGAGTGACGCGAGAGGAAGCTGGCTTTTATCCCAGGGAGTCATCTGACCTGGGGGGTAAGTGAACTCAGGAAAATAATCAGACCAGTCCAACCGTTTATGTAACTACTTAGGATGGTGACTTCAATTTTCTTTTAGCAGTGGAAAGTTACTGTCTATATTAATTTCCTGGGGCTGCCATAACAAAGTACTGCAAACTGGGGGCTTAAACAACCGAAATTTATTTCCTCACTGTTCTGGAGGCGAGAAGTCCAAGATCAAGGTGCCAAGCAGGGTCGATTTCCTCGCAGGCTCTTTCTTTGGTTTTGAGATGGCCATCTTCTCCCCGTGTCCTCACATGGTCTTCCCCCGTGTGTGTCTGTGCCCTAATCTCCTCTTCTGATAAGGGCACCAGTCCTATTGGATTAGGGCTCACCCATGTGAATTCATTTTTCCTTAATTATTCGTTTGAAGGCCATACTCTAAATACAGTCACACTCCGAGCGACAGGGGTCAGGACTTCAACACACGAATTTTGTGGGGACAGGATTTAGCCCACAGGGCTGTCCAATCTTGTGAAATCTTGTAAAGAAACTCACATTTATAAAACTGATTGAAAATAAAGCCCCAGTGAAACACAGTTTGAAAAGTACAAGAATATTGGGAAAAGGTTGGAATGAAGGATCAAATACACTGAAATTCACATCCAGGCTGGGTGATTTATGGTCATGTGGCATTGGTCAAGTCCCTTACACTACAGACCGTAAATTTCTGGTCCGTAAAATGGGATCATAGTTTTTAATTAGAACAGAAGTGCACATCTATAAAATTTATAAAAATAAAGACATATGACCGTCGTCAAATGATACAAGCCACTAAGCCTTAGTTCTTGGTCTTTAAAATGGAGACAATCACATTTGTCTTGCATGATTGAATTAAGTTAATTTACGTAAAATGCTTAGTCTAGTGCATGGTTCATCGGTATATTCCATAAATCGGTAGCTATTATGATGATTAAAAATATGAATAAAATGGGGATAATAATGTGTACCTCAAAGTATTGTGATGACATTAAACAAGCTGGCATTTGTAAAGCTTTTAGGACAGTGTCCGGGATGTAGCAAGCGCAGTGTATGTTTCTGTTAAACAAGAACATAGTTTAAGGTGGGCGTATTACTGCTATTGTGTCCTAGATAGCTCTACCAAGATGTCCCGCAGGCACCTCAAATCCAGCATATCTAAAAGCAAGCCGTGAGCAAGCACATCGTAGAGGACTGAGCACAAACTCTTGCAGACTTCTTCACCACAGCTGTAAAATTAAACTAAAAATAGTCCCCCCGTCAAAATTTTGCTTTAAGGATGAATTGAGACTATGCAATGGTCTTAGGGGCAGCAGCTGGCACAGAGTAGGTGTTAAATAAAGTTTAGTTCCCTGGAAAGTTAATAACGTTTCACTTCCACATGGTCATCCAAGATGGAAATCTCTTTGACTTCTGCATTTCTCAACAAATGGGTGTTAACCATATTTCCTTACTTCTTGTTTTCTTGTTGCTCGGTCATGGGGGCCTTGCTGACTAAGGGTAGCCTGCCCCTCCCAGGGCTAGCCGGTTCCTAGAGATCACAAAGGATTTGTCCTACAGCACACCTTTCATATGCAAACTAACCAATTCAAAGCCCGTGCTCTGAACCACCTCTTCATCTGGCTGTTATACTCTAAGAGGCAATATTGCCCTGTCCTAATCATCACAGAGCCAGCCAGGTATCAGACAACTGGAGAAAGCGCCTGTATCCTAGAGCCTGCTGAAATTATTCAAACTAGCCAATGCTAAACCTGCTTACCCTGTCTTTCTCATGGAAACCACAATACAGGCTCCTGCCTTTGCCTTCACCTTGCTTCTTCTGCCTCCTGACAGCCCCTGTGCTCCTTCCCCATTGGCCCTGTGTAGTATGGCGTGTCCCCTCCTCTTGGGATATGTGAGTAATAAGCTATCTTTTCAATGGCAATTGTCTCCTGATCTGTTGGTCTCGCCACACCCGAATAATAAAACCTACATTTTATAACAAAACATTCTACCAAGTCCTAGAGATTTTACCTATAAAATAATTCTCAAATGTCAGTCTTCATTTCCATTAGCATTACCATTGAACATCTCCCTTGGCCTAGATTAGCATACTACCTTCTCTTTTTTTTTGTAAAGAAGATTGGCCCTGAGCTAACATCTATTGCCAATCTTCCTTTTTTTGCTTCAGGAAGATTGCCACTAACATCTGTGCCAATCTTCCTCTTTTTTGTTGTGGTATGCCACTACAGCATGGCTGGATGAGCAGTGTGTAGGTCCATACCCAAAATCTGACCCCACAAACCCCAGACCACTGAAGCAGAGCGTGGAAACTTAACCAGTATGCCACTAGGCCGGTCCCAATGTGCAGTACATTCTTAATGTGACTCCCAGGGTCCAGATTCACTTCTTCCAGTGTCTCAACTCTTCTACTCTATCCTTTATCCTGAAATCAAACAACCTTCCCAAAATGCAGATAGAATTACCTCATGCCATGTTAATAATAATATTCTGGGGCTTGTATTGCCTAGACTTCAAGTCTCTTGGCCTACCCCCTACTACACACACACACACACACGCACACACATTCCATCACCTAAGAAGGAGAAACAAACGTGTGCTATTTCAGGAGAGATATAGCTAGACTCCTTTACTAGGTCACAGCACTTAAGTGAATAGAGGAATATAAGTGTGTAATGGTGCAAATACTCTTTCTTCCAATCACTGGAGAGAAAAACGCCTTGATGGTCAAGATGAGGCCTAAAAGAATGGGTTCAAGACAATCTCCTCCACTATGTTCCATGAGATGTTAGTAGATGTGTTTTATAGAAGTTTTCCTGGAAAATTTTCCAATCTATGACTGGAGAATTTGTGAGAGTACCTTGGAAAGATGCTTCCTTTTCATGGGATTAACACACTATTATCTAGTGACCCTAATCAAAGATTTCTCAGTTCTGTGTACCTCTTCCAGAAGACAGACCATATGTATCAAATACAAAAGAGAAACATTAAGCCCTCGGTTATCAAATCTTATTTGTTTTTGTTGATGGACCTACCCCTGCAGTGTTACAATGAAGTAAGACAGTGGTGGTTAGTTACCATCCTGGGCCCGTGATTTTTACTGTTTTACAGTAATAATTCCACCTTAGGCACAGTAGTAGAGGCTTAGCCTGGGGCATGGGGAGTGACTTAGTTTTCTACTCCATGTGGAGCAAGGTCAACTCAGGAGCCAGAATCTTTCAGTCAATGGAGAAATCCCATCTTCACTAGAGTTCTAGAAGAAGTGTTTGATATTATCTGGTAGGTACTGCATATTCAGTAAGAAATAAAGAAGGAACAAAACTGACCTGTGTTGTTAGGCCAATTGCTGTATCAACCTCCTAATTTCAGTGACTTAACACAATGAAAGTTTATTTCTTGCTCATGAAATGCTTAGTGAGGATATTCCTAATTGGAGCTACTCTAAGAATGATTCATGGGTCCAGGCTCCTTTTATTTCATTATGGCACCATAATGCAGCCTCTAAGTTTGTTGCAGAATCTGAAAAGAAGACACACAGATACTTAACTACCTCTGTTCAGAAGTGACGTGTATCATCTCTGCTCTCACTCCACTGGCCAGAACCAGTCCCAAGACCATGCCCAGTTGCAAGGACTCTCTATCTTCTAAGCTTCAGGCCTCCTACCCCCACCCAAAACTCACACACACACACACAGAGTCACTGGTGGGCACCACTCCATAGCATCAATTCTATACTATGGAATGGGAACACAAATCTTTGTTGATCGGCAGATTATCTGTGCCACAACTTTAGCATCCTGCAATATCCATTTCATGGTAATCAAAATAAAACAATAAGAGGAAGCAGTCACCCCATAGCCTGGCTCAGAAAAGAAAGGACCCCTTAGTTTGACATGTCGAAGAACCAAATCTGATTCTACTCGACAATTTTAAGTTTCACATTTTTCCACAGGTTAACACCTCTCAAATCAGAATGTGTCCCATGACTAACAAAATATTGCAATTATAATTGGCAGAGTTTGTTTTTTCTTTCTTATGGGCAAATAAAGTAATGGAACTTCTTACAATTCGTGGTATCTTATATTCAATGAAGAACAGTTTGTCACTAAGAGGACAAAAACACAGAGGATCTGTTGGAGCAAATAGAGAAAACAAATAGTTACAACAGGAAAAAATAGATTTGTTTCCTAAGATCTCCTTAGCACATGTACTAGACTAATGTGCATTCTGCAGCTACAAAGGGAAATAGAGTACTCAGTGTTTCCTAACTTTTTTGATCCATAAAACTCTTATTTTTGCATACCCATTACCAGTCCTGTATCCATTAATGTGCTGTGGACCAGTGTTCCTGGGATGTGTAGTATGGAACACGCTGCTCTTAAGCAGAAGTGTAAAGGGTATTCTTCTGGCACTCGGCGACCCAATTCTTGGGTCTAGGGCTGGGTCCTCACATTAGCTACTGCCCTGTACATCTCAGTATTTTTCTCCCAAATACCCTTAGTACTAGGGCCGAGTGAGTGCACCCTCACAGGGGCTATCAAGGCAAACAGCTTAAGTGGTGCCTACTCCTCCCCAGCCTGAAATGTCTATGATGTTTCCTGTGTTATTTAGAAATTACTTTGAATTTCCCATCTCTGTATTGTCTGTTTCTGCTGTAGAGTGGAAACTCCATGAGGGCAGACGCTTTGTCCAGTGTTCACATCTATTGAATGCATGGGGGGTAGGCCCTCAGTAAGTTTTTGGTGAATGAATCAGTGAACAATATATCTGAATTTGCTTTTAATATGTAGCTGGTATTTTAGAGTATTTGTCACCTTTCCATACTGAGTAATGTGACTCTCGTATAAGATGTTCACTGATGATTCTGGGGCATCTCATACTTTCCTACCTCCTACTATTCCCTGGAGATACACGGGTCGCAGGTTAAGCGACACAGAGAAGTATGGAGTCATAGTCATACAGTAAAAGCAAGTGGATTAGGTTGAAAGTCCTTGTTGC